TTAAAGTTGCTGAGGTTGAGAAACACTGGTCTATAGACAACACTGCATACATTTCAGCTAAGTTCACACAACATGGTTAACCCATTTTCTGGATTTGCTCTGTAGAGTAAATCATTCCCTAAACAGGCAGAGTTCATATAATATGTGAAGCCACATTCACACATACATCCACTAACTCATGCGAATACTAGCCAAGCTTTGCATGTTGTGTGAGTGCAGCTGTGAGATTTTTAACTCGTCTGGTTAAAGGTGTGGTGGGAATTCGGTCATCCTGGGGAGTTTGTGTGACGAAAACCTCTGCTCCCACCCTGCAGATTTTCAAGTTTTGAGATGTTCAAAGCTGTGGCATGAGACGTGATGCAAAAAAGGCGATGTGCCTGCTGTAGCTTCGCTTGGGAGGGGAAAATGTGGCTTCTTCGCCCCATAAACACCCATAATGGGCCAGTGTACTCTATAGGGAAGGCTCCCTTAATGCTTGGTGACTTGTGACAAAGGAGAACCAGGCTTTTCAACTGAAAAAGAAACTCTGTGAAACGTTGGTCCCCTTTAACGTACTTAGAATTCATCCCTGGCTGAGTGGCTTTGTCAGTTGTGGGCAAAACAAACGTGCGAATGGGTTGTCCCTGCAGGTTCAGGGTGGCTGTTTTCTGTCTGGACCTGGGTAGATACTCCCCACCGGTAACACGCATCCAACCCCGTTGTAAAATCTATTTCGAGCCCCATGCCAGACTCACCAACCCGTTAACTCTCTGTCCTTTTTGCAGCCTTGCTTGCTCTACAAGTTGAGTTCACCAGCACCTCCTAAGCACACCCACGCACAGATGGGGGTGTAAATACATCTGTGAATTAAGCACTTCTGATGGGAGGGAAAGGCCATACCTTCCCACAGAAGCAAATCACTTTTCCTACAGACAGCTTAAGGCCGCGTTTCTCAACCTTAGCAACTTTAAGGTGGGTGGACTTCCACTCCCAGGATTCCCAAGAATCCTGGGGGTGGAAGTCCACCTATCTTAAAGTCGCCAAGGTTGAGAAACACGGCCTGAAGGGCTGGAAGGAAGATTTCACTTTTGCTTTTGCCCTGACGTGCTAATTTTCTGCATGCATTTTTACCTAAAATAACTTCCACCTTACAAGCTTTGCAAATATATTTCTGAAGCACCACACCCCAATTGCCAGTTGTCTCCCCATTTGGGGCTGAGGACAGGGCAGCATAAGAACCTGATTCTGAGAACTAGAATTGGTGCTGGAGAACTGACCAAAACACATTTGAATGCAGATGTGAGTCGCCTTGTTAGACCTGGAGGTTGCCAGGGAATTTCACACACTTCTTTGGGTTCCTGGTTCATCCCCATCGTGGCGTTTTCTTGCTGTCTGTCTGTCGTCCGGCCTGTGGCTTTCAAACCGGTCTGGCGAGGTCAGCGCCTTCTTAATGGCCATCCCCTTTGGTCTGCGTGTGCGTTTTTAATTCTCTTTTCTTGCAAGATGAATGGGATGGAGCCCCTGGGATTTGGGGAGCTGAAGGAAGGAATCCGTGGGTGGCCTTTGGCCCAGCCTAACCAACCACACAGAATTGGCACGCTGGCTGGGCAGCGTCATTTCTCTGGGCGGTTCACAGCAGCGTTCTTCAAGCCATGGTACAATGACTGCCCCCAGAATACCCCTGCCAACACGGGGCCAGGTTTGGGGAGGGCTGGAATAAAGGCTCTTATTGAACACATTCTTTAACTCAGTGTTTCTCAACCTTGGCAGCTGTAAGATGTGTGGACTTCAACTCCCAGAATTCCCCAGCCAGCCTGGGAGTTGAAGTCCACACA